TCAGTACCAGAACTCCCCTCACTCTTGAGGATGCCCTGCCCTTTCCCCTACAGATTTTTTAAATACTCTTCTGACAAAGGTACGTAATGCTTAGATCCTGCCAACTTGTCCCCACTCCATGCTAAACAAGAGCATTTGTACACCTGGAAACAAATCCCTGGATGCTTGCATCACCTTCCAGTGCACTGTAAAAACCCTTCCAGATATCTTGCCTTTTGCCCAGTTTACCATGCTCATGAGTGCATAATTTCTGGAGGCAGCTGGTGCTCTGGGTGCCCTCCTTAATACTTATTTGCACAAAATCATAGATAGAAGTTGTGGGGGAAGTTCATTGCCTCATGATATTTTTTCTTGATTTTATTTCTGTTTGTTTTTTCTCCATGAAGAATGGAGAATTTCTATATGAAGAAATTTGCAACATGCAGAGAGTCTGGGATTTATTCACACCAGTAAGTGCAGAGCTGTAAGCTGGCCTACCTGTAGCAGATGACAAAGGCCCCAGAGGATGATGACACTTGAAGGTGTACCCTGGAAAGGTGCATGGCAATCCTGCAAGCTCTGAGGGACAGGACAGCTGTGGGGCAGTTCTAATCATACCTAAGCTTTGCTCCAAGGGACAGCAGTGGCTCACTGTCTTACCCTCACGTGTGTACCACGCTCTAGGACCTGTTTCTGCCAGTACCTGTAGCACTGCTTAGCAAGACTTTCAGTGTGTGTTGCTACTGACAGTGACACATACTGTAAGCAGCAATTCAGATTTTAATCATTCCACAGTGGTTAGTGTGCTGTGGGTAGATCTAAAATCAGGTCACCTTTCTCAAACGCTTGCTTAATGTACAATTCTATTTGTTCCTTAACACAGCACTTTCTTGGTTTGTTTTTTGTTGTTTTGGGTTTTTTTTTCAATATTTTTCAGGGACGAGGCACCTGGTGCTACAAGGTTTTAGATCCTATAAAATCAGTGAAGTCTGTTTGTTTTGGTATTTTAATCAAAATGAGCGTTTTTCTGTAGTGAGGGATATTTCTCTGATGTATTCAATCTTGAAAGTGGTGTGAGTGCAAGTAGGCCTATTTTTCCTGCCATTTCAAGTGTAGGGTGGCAGGTTGTGGAGAGCTTACCTAATGTATTCCAAAGGTTAATGTACTGGAATGTCAAAATTATTTCTCTTTTTTTTTTTTTTTTTTTTTCCCATTGGAATTTCTGGTTTCATCTCAATCTTTGGAACTGGTGACTAAGCTGAGGCCTAAGATGGCTTTAAGCAACGTTGGCATTGTTAGCAGATGTTTGCTGTCTGAAACTGTTCAGTTGGAGATGATGTAGTGTATCCCACGCAGCACAGACCGCAGCCTTTGGCCATCTGCTGTTGTTCCAGTTTTTCTTTTTAGCATCTTCTGCCTGCTGGTTGCTTTTCCCTTTGTGTGGCCCTAGTCAGATTCTTCTGCAGAAGTAGGGGGTGTCTGGTATGGTGTTTTGTACCCTACATATGAGTGCAGGAATGTGTGCCCAGACGTGCGTTATCTCTCAACTTTTTACAAAGTAGCTCATCAATTTCAAGTCACATCTTGAGAGGGCTGAGGAAACACAGATTTTTACTAAATTGCTTGATAGAAGATGGAAAAATACCAAAACCACTTTTGAAAAAAAAAGTGGTTTAAAAGAACACTTTTAAAACAGCTCTGGACAGCTCAGTCACTCGTGATTTCTGTGAAGGAGAGCTGGTGGCCATGGCAGCGTGCTCACTGGGCCCCTCTGCTTTGTGGTTGCTGGGTTGCCCAGTTCTTTTACAGATGCTGGGGGAGTTTGTTTTTCTTGTGGAAGCTATAAGTCAAAGAAAGGACAGTTAGCATCACAGCCAGTTAGTGCAGATTTCTAAAATGTCTTATTCTTCTACATTGTTTTCTGTTCCTTTTAATACATGTACAGTTACAAATTCAATACAATGTTGAATAAACCATACTAGTAATTTCCTTTCTCCTGATACGCTGGCTGGCAAACGCCTTCTATTTGTTCTCAGCTGAATTTGTTTCATAAAATAACTTAGTTTCATAATTGTTGAACTCTTTGACTGCAGTGAGATACTAATGGCTGAAAAAAAAAGTAGTTTCTTAGCTTGTCACATCACTTTTAATACAGTCTTTCAATTTTAATCTATTGCAATAGATAGTTCTTATGAGGGAAGTTGCTTTGGAAAAGTATATGAAATAACCAGACAGTAAGGCAAGGGAGTCAGGGAGGATACGATGCTGAAATTGTATCAATATCCCTTTTTTAATGCACATGTGCTAAAAACTGAAGTCAGTTGTATTTAAACAGAGCTCACTTTGGCAAGCGCTCTCAAATTATTTTTACTGTGGAGCATGTGAGGCAGAAATTCCATAATAACTCCAAGCTTGAAGTTGCTAATAATAAACCTTAATGATGTTAATGAATGCTGACAGTAGTTCTACTTTAAGGATGTTACTTGTGGACATTCTGTAATCAGTAACTTGTGCCTCTCTGTGACCAACCCTGGAGATGGATGGTTCTTCTAAGCTAGTGCAGAGAGTTTCCTGGAAATACTTCAGATGACCAGAAATGAGCAGCGTTTGAGAGCAATTCAGTGTCCGAGCAGAATGGCTTTTCTGTGATCTTGGGATCACCTGCTGTGGTTGCAATCTTTGCCTGTCCTCATTTTCAGAAGTATTTTCAAACTGATGCATCTAGCTGAAATGCAAAAGCCACTTTCACACGCAAGTGGGTAGATATGGTGTTTCTTTTTTCCATGTTATCTGAATGCTGGTGGTCCTCTTAACAGTTTCCTGCAGGATATGGGAATATTTTCCTCCACAGTTTTCTGGAAAGGAATCCCGGAGCAGCAACGAGGAAGATGTGATTCTGAGGCACGGTAATGAGGGCAGGGCACTGCTGTATGGCACCTCTTATCTGCCCAGGCCGCCATCAGGGCTGGGCCCCAAGCTGAACCGTGCAGAGAAGATGCAGTCCTGAGAGATCACAGTGTAGCTCCCTCTGCTACCCCTTCCCTCTTGGTGTCAAGTAGGAGCACAATTGCACTCATTGCTGTGAGCTCTGGAAGGCAGAGGGCACAGGCTGGAGAAGAACAAAGGCTGTTGTTATCCGGGTGAGTAAAGAATGGGCATCCCTGACTTGTTCCAGCTCAGTGACTGCAGGAATTTGAAAGAAAATGATGAATACAGCTGAAGGAGGTTGTTGATAAAAAGCCCCCTAAAGGCTTCAAAAGTGTGTGGCTGTGAAAAGTAGCCCAGAGAAGGTCAAGGGTGCAGTGACTCCCCTAAGGATAATGTTGGCAGGGCCATACTACTGCAAAAAAAGCAAAGCCCAAAGCAGATGGGCTGGAAATGGCAACAGCTCAGAAGCTGATCTAACAAGAAGTAATGTTACTGGGAGAAATGAAGAGTGTCTACATATTCAAATAAACCACATCTTTTTTTTCTGCTTATGCTTTCAGGCACAGGTTAAAAAAGCAGAATCATTTCAAAGCTGCTTGGCTTTCCTAGGGCAGGACAATGTTTAAACACACGTGTCTCTTATCTAGATCTGTGAAGCAGTGCAAGTTGCAGTTCTGTGAAGGGGCACAATGCTTTATTATACTGAAGAGTAATTCATGTTTTGTGAGTGTCTCAAAAAAATGCCGTCTGACAAAGCAGCCCACATCTCAGGGATTCTTGCTGGGGATGTTTTCACAGAAGCTCATCTACACCAGCTTTATATTTTTACACCTGTTTGCAGCCTTTCTCACTACATCCCACAGATGCAAACCAGCCTGACATGAAGGGTGATCAGCTGACAGCAGCAGCTATCTTGATGAAGACTCCACACCTGTGTACAAACCATCTGTTTCACTGTACCCCACATCGGGTGATATATCCAAAGGAGGGCTTATATCCTTAGGTACAAGCAGACCTGACTTTAGCTCCTGGAAAAAGCCACTGCCGCGCTAAAGCTGACTCACTTGTCAGGATATGTTGCTTTTAGATATTTCTGCTTAAGGATTTTCTTCATGAAGTCTTTCATTGGTAAAATCAAGCCAATTCTTTGTGACCTGCTAGGCTTTCTGGATTTATAGGAGAGATTCAAGAGCAAATCTCTTAAGTGAATAGCCTAGCCACTGTGGGAGCAGCTTGGGCAGTAAAACCTTGTTTTCTTTCTGTATGGTTGTGCCATGAAGGAACAAGGATCTCAGGGAGTTAGGAGCAGTTTCGGCAAGTGCTCACACACCCAAGATGTTTACATTTCTCTTGTAGTTTTCTCTGATGAATAACCAGAGAAGTTCATGCTGTGAGGGAGGCACGTGTACTGTCCGTAGTAACTAGTGTCTCAAAGCTGGGAACTCTGTGTCTTTAAGACCTCTCGCTGTGCTGGATTTCACATGATGTTGCCAGGAGATTTAAAAACTAGATGAATGGCAGGGAAGAGATGTTGGCAGCAGAGGTGCATAGGGCTCAAGAAGCAGGGATGAAAGTCTTTTCTGTGCAACAACAAAATGTAGTAGGAGTCCACAGTCTGAAATCCAGGGAACTCACTGTATGGGTCACTTAATTCTCTGCCTTTGCTTTTCATCTGCAGGTTGGATTAAGATGTTGCCCAGAACTGTATAGCTGTCTCTAGATTACTTAGAAGTTTAGAAGTATTAAATTTTGAAGCCTACAAGTACTAATGGCTGGAATTTTGGTGTAAATAAAATGGTGTTACAGAAGATAATGTGCTCAAGCTGTTCGGTTACTGTTTTTCCCAGTGCTAGAAGACCTCAGAGGATCTCTGGGAAGTCATAACAAAATCCTCAGGATACTTGTCAAAGCACCGTGTGGAGGAGATGAAGTTTAAATGACTTCCTGTCAGCTCTGCTATGTCATTTGTGTTTTAAAAATCAGCAAAACAAATACATTTTAGGCTATGGACTGAAGACATTTTAATTCCTTCACAAAGTCAAAACAGTTCCCTTATCAAAAAGTCACAGCAATGTTTATCTTTGTTTTCTTAGGATCTCATCTCTCTGGTTGTGGAAGAAGAATCTCGGAAATGTGAGGCGAAGAATTCAGCCTTTTTGGTTGCTGTCCCATCTCCTGTGATCCTGGAGATTGGCTGTGGCTCTGGAGCAATTGCTCTGGGTCTCCTGTGCAAGATACCACAGGTGAACTTTTTAATATGCTCATGGTACAGCAAATACCATTGTGAAAGCGTAGTTCCAGTCTACTGGACTTCCCTGAGACTTTCCAAGCAAATTTCTTTGACAGAACTTAGCTGCTACTTCAGCAGCTGCTGTCTTTGACAATCAGACTCTGTATGTTTATTCTAGGTAGAGAGAGTTTTTAGAAATTGCTTTCTCCAGCTGTCTGCAGGAGTAATAAAGACAGAAGGAAACAAGCAAATGTGCTCATTCTTCAGCTGTCACAACTCGCTGTTAATCACCTTAGATTGAAGCTGTTGTGAGGGTTGGTTTAAGCTCATATCCTGGGCTGTGGACGAGTGACCGAGGCTTCGGTACGCACTCTAGTAGTCAAATTTTTGGAGCAGTCATCTCTAAATTCACCTTGCTGTGAATCAATAGGTTTGTGAGACTGAAAGCCAAATGAGTACCAAAGAGGGATTCCCACAGAAGCATCAATAGTTGGGATCAATATGATTAGCAGATGTCACACTGCCTCAACTGCCAAGCCATTTTTCTGAAGTCTTTTGTTCCATGATAGCAGCCCCCGTTTTTGGATAGAGCAAAAAAAGCAGGAAGTGGATAGAGATCTGGGTAGCCAAAGCTGTTCTTGCCTCTGGTTACTGTGGCATGAAACAGGCTTGATGAGATACTATTGGTAAGTAAAAAGGAAAAAAGAAATGAAGCCAAGATTTCATCACATACAGACTTACTCATACGTCAGCTTCTCATGAGCAAGAATTGCTGTAGCCAGTCCTCTCTCTGAGAGAGAGTGAGGCTTGGGGCATTAGTTACAGAGGTAGGTGCCTTCTGTTGACTCAGGAGTTAATAGTTGGGCTTCATGACTTCAAAGTGAAATTACTCTGATTTTCTGAGCTGTACTTCACACTTTTTACTTTCCTGTCAGATTAAACAGTTCTGCCAGTCTGTCACTGTTACTGATAATAGTCCTTTCCCAGCTGGCTAACACAAACTGCTGTGCCCAGAGAAATAAAGAGCCTTGGCTGAATAGAGTGAATGGTAGCTACACAGACAGCTAACCAGAGTTTATGTTCTTTGTGATGTCTTAATGTTTGAGACACAAGTTGGCAGTAGGGAACAAGAGAAAACACCAGCGGCATTTCATTTATTGTTTCAACTCTGTCCTCTGTGTTTGGGGTCAGCTTTGTGTGTGTGAGGGTGGTAGTTTCACGCAGTGAAATGCATCACCCTAATGGTCCATTACACTGCATACCACCATTATCACCAGGTAGAAAGTGTATACTTCGAGCACGCTTTCTGTATGCAAATGCTTAGCAGCATGTGTTTAAAAAACGTCCAGCAAAGCAAAAAAACATGTCAGGCCTGTGCTCGTGCTGTTCCCAAAATGGGGTAGAAAGTCAGGCATATCTCTAACCATATAGTCCTATCGCATACTGTTACACCAGAGAACTTCCAGATAGTTGACACAGTGAAGTGCAGGCTGTCTACATCTAGTGAACATGGTATAATGACTGCAGTGGAATTACTAGGCAAAGGGTGACTGCCTAATAGATGGAAAATGCTAGAACCTCTGCCCAAGATGGGGTGTTACTGTTGGAGGGATTCCATGCACACTAAAAAGGAGAAGTCTAGGGATGTGATCTTCCTTTAACCTGTGTCCACTTCAGCCTTTGGCTTGCTGGAGTGTTGAGTCTCACACTACTTCAGAGCTATGAACATATCAGGTGCCATGAGTCAGCATGACTGCATTGTTGTCAGCTGAGTTGACTTGGTCAGAAGCCTGTCTATTTTGGTAGAATGCTGGCATTGTTGCAGAGTGCCTTCTGTCATGTTACTGTCTTACTGGAAGTGATTTGTCATCCCATCAGTGCCCTGAGATGAGCTGTTCATTTGAGGAGCCGAGAGTGAGCAGTCAATTGGCAGGTTTTATCTTGTGTGTCTCTTCTGGCAGAGCTTGTCTGCTCAGGAGCTGTGGTGTTGTAATGCTGTTGTTTGTTTTTTTCTGTCTCAGAGCCGAGTGATAGCTGTGGATAAAGAAGAGGCTGCTGTGGATCTCACCAGGGAGAATGTACATAGGTACAAGCTTGCATATTATCTATTTCTTGTAAACTGTTACTTGGGAATCATGGAATGGCGTGGGTTGAAAAAAAAACACAATTTCAACCCCCCCACTGTGTGCAGGTCACCAACCAGCAGACCAGGCTGCCCAGAGCCACATCCAGCCTGGCCTTCAATGCCTCCAGGGATGGGGCATCCACAGCCTCCTTGGGCAGCCTGTTCCAGTGCCTCACCACCCTCTGGGTGAAATGATCAGGAGTCCCTAATATTTTGAACTGTGTTTCATGTTTGTCACCATGGGAAACTAGAGTATTTTTAATCACTTGAGCTCCCAAAGAGTGTAGCAATTCAAGAAAAAGGAAGTTTATATTTACCAGAGGATTTTTTTCCTTTCAGTTGTGAATGCACTTTGCAAAGGCAGCAGCCTAAATAAGTCAGTAGTACTTAAATGCTGTCTTCCAAGAGTTTTCGTGGTCACTATTGGTTACTACTTTTCTATGGTGAACTTTAATCACCAAGAGGTAAGAATGTCTCTGTCACTTGAGAGGTTAAGGACAGGTATAGTATGAACCTTTCTCTCTTTGGCTTCCTACCTAAAATTCTGCCATGCTTGTTCCTGTCACTACTCCTCTGGTTATAAGTTTGCACTCTTCACTCTGTTGTCACGGTATCCCTCAGTGCCCTCCTTGTAGCCTTGGATTTGATGAGAAGGGTGCTGCTGTGCACACACACCTGTGCTGTGCCTGGGTGCTGAGACTGCTGAACAGATTGTACCTAATGCAGAACAACATTATCTCAGGATAACCTTGTCCTCCCCAACAGATCATTGCTCAGTGTCATGGTTCTATGTTCTGCTTAATGCAGGCTGTTCTGGGTTGTCACCATCTTGGTGAGCACCACGACTAGAATCTGTGTCCTTTTTGAGTCCTCTTAGAGACTGTGAAACGTACAGAGCTCTACTATGCATTTGTATTCTCAGGAACCTCTGAGCATGAATTTGAGCAGCCTTAGGAGGATTTCCTGTTGCTACCTTTTTTGGAGTCCGGTACAGCTATGAGTCTTAAAAGTGATACTCATTAGCTGATGTTACTGTCCGCGAGGCCCATGTATTCTTTCTTCCAAAGCTGCTGCTGGCATACTGGTTACAGAGGCAGGCTGCTTCTGTTTCTAGCTGTCCTGAGCTGTATCTGTCCACTTTTTGCAATCCAGCTGCAGATCTTTCACCATTCTGAGGTGATGGTAGAAACAACCTCTTCCCACACTTTCACCTCTCCACTAAACTGTGCCTCCTATTCCAGTTATGGGGAGTGGCCAGCACATCCTTCTGATATATGAGTATCAAACCAAGTTCTCTTGCAGTTTTACAGAGATCATAATAAAAACAGGCCAGATCTTTGCCTCCTTTGTAGAGTGTTGTTCTGGCATATGGGAAAATGTGTCATAGTATCCTTGGCTCAAGGATGGCTATGGGGAGCGTAATTGCACTGCCAGAGAAACTCGTATTTCTCAATAGATATTTTCATTAAGCAAATGTTTCTCTTGTCCGTGGTGTGGTGCCCTGCACATCTTGCAAGAGTAGCCGGTAGGATAAGCTGTATTACTGCTGAAGCCAGCTTGGTTTCTGCCTTTTTACCACAGTTGTGTTATTTAGGGAGGAACGCTTAGTGAAGTCTTGGTTGCAGTGAATCAATGCCAGTACCAGATTACCCAGCTGTGTACGCTGCGGGTAGATGCAGAAATCCTTTTATTTCTTGATGCTCCTGTAGTTGATGAGGCAGTTCCAAAGGCCCTCAGCAAACAGGACTTGGGTATAATGGCTTTGTTGCAGCATGCTCTCTGAAACTTGCTTGGGTAGCCCCAGGATGTTACGCTGAAGAGTTGGAAGGAAAAATCTGACACCGTGGTGGGTCTCTCCCAGGAAGAGACAGCATATTGGAAAGAGCTCTAGTTTTGTCAGAGGATTCTCTAGACATTGCTGTAACAGGGCAAACTCTATCTGCAACCATCTACTTTTGCCAGTCAGGGAATGGCATCCCCTGAGGGTGGAGTGGAGTTGTTCTCCACCAGCACTTCTTGCCCAACATTGTCTCTCTAGCTTGGCAAAGTGCATTCTCTGTCATTGTTGAAACGTCTTCTCAGAAGCCAGAGGCAGAACTCATGAGAAGAGAGGTATTTTGATGGGCAGATTGCATAGCTGAGGAATTAGAGGTTATGTTCCTTCTTTGCTGCCTCACTCTTTCTGCTTCTTTAGTCTCTCTTGCAATCAGGCTGTGAATAAGCACCAAGGCAGTTTTCAAACTGTCATCTCTTTATTGTTCCAGGAGTGTCAAGGTATCTTCAAGGCTTTAAGGCAGGCATGTCCAGCCCATGGGCTGCATGTGGATAGCACAGCTCAAACTACAGCCATCAGCTGAGCAGCTCAGCCTGGTGCACAGCCTCACTTAACAACCAAACATGGGTGTGCTGCTAACCCTGTCTGGGCTGAAAGCGGGGCACGGGACGCAGCGCAGGGCTGACTGAAGGGATGGCAAATATGTGCATTCTGATGTATTGGCTACATACAGGCCCGTGAACAGTGAAAAATAGGCAGCTGTGCTTTCTGCTGTGGTCAAGGAATTTGAGAACAGGTTTCAGGGTTGCAAAAAAGTGTTGACTTTTTGGGTTTTTTTTTTGTACATTTATGACTATTTTCAGTCAAAATAAATGCATTGCCTGTGAATTTTCCAATGGCTGTGTAGAGTTACAATCAGATATTCAACACAGATCTGATCATGTCTTTCTACTGGACTTTCATAATTCCTATCTCAGCAGAGAGAAATATCCCTCACTTCACAGTCACACCTTATTAATGTCATCACTTTTCGGCAGTACGTACATTTGTGAAGTGTTTTCATGGATGAAGTACTGGAAAAATGAAATTTCATCAAAAATCTCAGACAAACACCTAAGAATTGCAAGTGCTACCTTGGAATCAGACTGTTCTGTTAGTTTCACAAACAAGGTCAAACATCCCACTAGTTTCATGGTTTTGTTGTTTCCTTTTTAAATGTTTTAATTAAAAAACTATTGAAAATTAAAACAAGTTTTGTTGCTTGTCAGCTATATTATATATTTTAATGGGAGCTGCTCTGAAAGGAATGCCTCCTGTTTTATTACGTTGGCCTGCAACATCAGAGGTGGATCTTGGTGGCATGGCAGTAGAACTGGACCTTCCCACCTATATTCCATTACGTTTTATTGCTGTGCAGCAGCAGTGGGGCAGTCTGACAAAATTGCATAGTGGCATGAAAGTGTGTGTGAAGTAAAGGTGGGTCATTGCATTCCTCCATGTGGGAAAAAATGGCACCCACTGACATTCACTGACACTTGCTAAACATTGGCACAATCCAAAGAGTGGATGTGAGTGCAGTGAGGCAGTGGGTGATGTGTTTCTGCAGTGGCAACAGCATCAGTGCTAAAAACCTCCACTGGTGCAGGTTTTTACTAGTTTGGCATGCAAGCTCGTGTTAACTACTGACAAAAATACAGAGCTAACAGTGGTGATTATGTTGAAAAATAGGTTTTTGTAGCTGAGAATTTGGTCCATTAAGTATTGTTACTGTGCTTGTTTTATCTGTTGTAGTTTCCATGGAAATAAATAGGAGGCATTACTTCTGGAGTGACCTACACATATGGTGGCTGAGACAATTCCTGTTTACTTGGTGTGGCCCAGGCAAGCCAGAATGTTGGACACCCATGGTTTAAGGGGATCTGTCTCTGGCAAGGATCATATTCTGTTGCAAGCTGGGAGCTAGAGATGGATTGTGCCAGGCTGAGGCAGACTGGAGAACCATGCAAAGGCAATCTGGCAAACTTGAGGCTGTTCTGCTTTGGAGTGAGTCAGTAAATCAGAGATCAGAATCTCAGCCAAGATTTCTTCCAAAGAAACAGTGAGGTGTTTATAGACCTGTTTCTTAAAAATAACAAACCTCCCTGCCTACGTGCTGTCTTGTCACAGGTGAAGGGAGAGTTGTTTGTGTCTCCAGTACATTCAGGGATTCTGCCAGTGTGAACACCCTGGGGAGGTCTGGTTGCAGATGAAAGGTGCTGAGCAAAACATATCTCCCAGTTAATGTGCACAGGCATGTCAGGGATGAGAAAGATCATGAGTTAGAAAGTAGCACCTGAGAAACCCAGCCTATTTTAAAAGCATTGCACTGAACGGTCTGTGCGTGAGCCGTTCCTATAGGAGTCTCTCTTCCTGGTCTATGTCTGCCACAGGAGCTGTGCTGCACTGCGTGTGCTGGCTTCCTGCTACTGTGCAGTGCAGTCTCATCACCTTCATGCACTCATGTGCCTAAAAAATACACTCAGATGCCAGAACGCTGCTAAGATCCAAATCAGCAAAGAGGCTGGGGAAAGAACGTGGCAAACATGAGCAAGTTGTCTTCGCTTACCATGTCAGATTTACGTATTTGATGCACTTAATTTTGTTTTTCTCTGCTTCTGAGCTCACCTGGGGGAGGCCTTTAGATATAATTAATATGTATCTGAGGGAGAATGCTGCTGTGATGTATAGGTGTATTTTGGATGCATGGGAGCTCTGCGCTGGAATCATCATGGGTGCTTTCTGCTTCAGACAAAGAGCACTTCCTAAACTTTCCTTGCAGCTTGGGAAAAATCCAATGACAGTCAGTGGGATAGTACATACGTGTATCAGATAAGAAGAATGATAGTTAATGGCCTGTTTATTGAATGTGTTGTTCATGAGCCCACACAGACAAGACTCCTAATCTTTTTGCCCTTACATCTGAACTTTTCTTTATAGGCTGCAACTCCAAGACAGGATCCACATCCTCCACCATAATGTTTCATATGGTAAATCTTTTCATTGTCTTAATCCCCTTTATATTTCTTCCTTTTTTACTGTCCTGGTTTATCCGGTTTGGTAGTTGTCTGCTAGGCTGTGCTAGACTAAGAGGTGTGGAGGAGCCAGGCGCTCCAGTGTTGCAGATTCATTTATGCACTTCCTTTCACACCATTCATTTTGACCCTCTATTACTGCTTAGAGGTATGTCTGCAAATCTGAGCTCATTCTGGCTGTGTTCCATCAGTAAGCCAACCAGTGCAGTCCAGAAGCCTGTGTGGGTAAGCCTTGTGCTGAGAGGCGGGCCTGAGGGCCGTGCCATGTTTGTGGAATTGCATGGTGTCTGGGTCAGGGCTGGTGCATGTCAGTCCAGATAGGAGCACGAGTGTAGCAAGCTGAACTTGTTGGCAGAAAAGCAGGTCTTTAGTTGGTTGGTACTGCTGAGGATGTAGCTCTTCTGCCTGTTGGAATACCTTCATCAGCTCTGGTGAGAGGAAAGATGTGCATCCTGACAGCTAGTTGTAACTCTCTTAGTTAGGTCTGTGTAATGTGTCAGGTTCCAGTAGCTGCTTTAGATCCAGTTGGGCTCTGAGCTCTCCAGGACATCAAGGTCCTGCGTTAGAATTTCTAAGATAGATATTCTTCTAAACAGGGCTGTTGGTCCCCCAAAAAAAAGATACTTTGCCTGTGCTCATCTTCATGTCATCTTGCATACAGGGTGGGAGGGTAACCAGGCCCAGCTATCTCCAAAAGAAATGGGGTGAAATTCTATGAGAGAGAAACAGAACCATACACACATCTGCATGTACCTGGAAAGATAGTTTTCTGGATAGGATTTTGATATTGAGCTTAGAGGGAACATTGCTATGATTGAGAGCTGGTTGTGATTCTTTTTTAGGTTCTGCCAAACATCTGCTACCTTGGGGCCCAATGGACTTCATAGTCAGTAACCCTCCATATGTCTTCCATGAAGACATGGCTTCCCTGGATGCAGAGATCCTCTGGTAATCAGACACAAAGATTTTCCATCTCCTGTTCCTTGAAGCAAAGCTTTCTGGCTGCTTTCTTATATTACACGCTCACTTGCACACAGAATGGGGAAATGTGGTAAGCATGCGTAATTGTAGGTGTGTTCATATATGGTATTCAATAGTATAGCATTACTTTGGTACTGCTTGCAAGTCTGAAACAACTTTAAGTGTTAATAAAAATGGAAGAAGCACACACTTTGTCACTGCTAAATTTCCAATCCAAAACTGTTCCAGAACATTTTTCATGTCAGATTTTTTTTCACAATTGGTTTGAGTGTATGAAAGTAAGAATAATTAATCAGAGCAGCTTTTTGTGATGAAAGAAATTTAGGTGGAAATACTGTCACCCATTTTAATCACAAGACTTGCCTTAAGCAAACAAACTCACACGAAGAAGCACTTTTGGGTTGTGGCACTGTTTTGTCTATGCTGGCCTTCCTCAGAAGCAATTGTCACGCATGTCAGGGCAGAGTCCCATATTCACCCCTAAGCTAAATGTGTAGGGTAGCAGATTCTGTCCTTGAAAGTGGCTGAATTTTCTGCATCTGAATTTGCTCTGCTAGATTGTGGTTATTGGCATAGTTGAAATAATACAAATGCTCTTTTGCTGTACAACCCACTCTTTCCCTGTCTAGCTAGCACATCCTGGATGCAAGTGACTCAAAGTCTTAAGACAAAGTCACAGAATCACAGAATGTCTTGGGTTGGAAGGGACCTCAAGAATCACGAATCTCCAACACCCTGCCAGATGCAGGGCCACCAACCTCCCCATTTCATAGCAGCCCAGGCTGCCCAGGGCCCCATCCAGCCTGGCCTTGAACACCTCCAGGGATGGACGGGGCATCCACAGCCTCTCTGGCAGCTGTTCCAGCACCTCACCACTCTCTCTGTAAAGAACTTCCCCCTGACATCCAACCCAAATCTTCCCTCCCTCAACTTCAAACCATTTTCCCTTGTCCTGTAGTTATCTACCCTTTCCAAGAGTTGATTCCCCTCCTGTCTGTAGGCTCCCTTTAGATGCTGAAAGGCTGCAATGAAGTCGCCCCACAGCCTTCTCTTCTCCAGGCTGAACAAACCCCGCTCCCTCAGCCTGTCCTCATATGGGAGGTGCTCCAGTCCCCTGATCATCTTTGTGGCTCTCCTCTGGACCCTCTCCAACAGCTCCCTGTCTTTTTTGTACTGGGGGCTCCACACTTGGACGCAGTATTCCAGATGGGGCCCCACAAGAGCAGAGCAGAGGGGAGCAATAGCCTCCCTGTCCCTGCTGGCCGCCCCTCTTTTGATGGAGCCCAAGGAATGTTTTCTGCTTGTGCTCAGTTTGGGGTTTCTCAGCCTTCTTACTCCCTGTATTTCTCATAAAAGCAATGAGTGCTCTCACCTGCTGTAACTGGGCTGGAGTTTATTAGTTGCACCTTTGCCTGTGGAGCAGGGCAGTGCATGCTCAAGGGCATGGCTCATGCCGTATGAATTGCCATTAATGCCTTATTTCCAACCTCTAGCTATGAGGACCTTGATGCACTGGATGGGGGAGATGACGGGATGAGAGTCATTAAAATAATTCTGACTCTGGCTCCTTCTCTTCTGAAGGATTCTGGGTGAGCATGGTCCTCCTTTTGAATTTCACATCTTCTCTCCATATCTGTAACTACTGTTGTTGTTTTATGCAGGATGTAAAAGGAAAATAACTGCAAAAACGCCCATCTAGTAATAGTAGTGTATTTTTGTTTGTTTACTAAAAAAAAAAAAACAAAAAAAAAAACAACACATGTATTAGCAAAATCAGTCTGAAATTTGTTCATATGGGGGTATAGACCTTCTTTGACCAGTGCTGGTGTTTCATAGTCATTAACAAAATGAGGGTCTTTAAAGCTCAAAGCAGCAACAGAAGGAAGGTGAGAGAGAAAATGGAGGGAGAGGAAGCGCGAAAAAAAGCTTTCCAAGCAGAAAAGCCGTTGAGGGAAAAACAACGCACTGCTCTGTGAGAATGGATGTAGGTCTGTTTCATTCTTTAATCACAGGAAGCTTGTGTGTTGTGCCAGGAGTCAGGGCTGGATATCCTGGGAGAATAATGGTAATCAGCCAGGGTTCATTTCTTAAACGTTAGATTTCTGCATGAGGGATGCTTGAGACTGATTGGTTTCTATTTGCTGTCATGGGGGATCCATTTCATGCTTGAAAATCAACGTGCTGATACCCAAATGTCTTTTGTGCCCTGGCATTCTCATATCCTGTTGAAAATTCCTCGCCTTAATAGCATTAGAGAGATCGTTGAAAATCTGTTGTTTTAGGAAGAGGAATAGGAGTACTGAGAAGCACAATGGAAAGAATAAGCTCCTTATTTTTTGCTCGGCCACAAGAGCAGAAGTTGTTCCCCGGGGCTTCCCAGCAGGAGACATCAGCCCATGGGGATGGCTGTTAAGACATTTTTCCTAGTCCCTTTCGTGTTTGTTTTATAAGGTGGAGCCCCCATTGCGGGGTGGGAGTCTTTTAAGGTCAATAACGAGAACCACACCCAGCTTGTAATTAGTTTGGTGGGAGTGTTCAGTGTGGGACTGCCCAGGAATTCTCAAGAGAGTGTAGAGTTGGGGCTTGGCCTCTGTGCTTTGCCTGTTTAACTTGTATCTTGATAAACTGTCAAAGGCTGCAATCCATTTCCACATGCCTGTAAGCTAGGGTGGTTCCACCTCATTATGGGAGGAGAGTTTCAGAAATGGGCCCATGTCACAAAGCCTGACTGCAGCCAAAATGGAAAAGGTCCTTTGCAACAAGCTGTGTCCTGGTGCTTTGTCTGAAGCTGTCTGACTAGGTCCCTTTTCCCTGTTGCACTCTCCTTTGTATAGTCATGTGTAAGACTGTACGACCTGAAACCTGGTGGTGGTTTCATAACTCATCTGTGGAGATGATTATCGCTGTAAAATGTGTGTACTGACTTGTACTTTGACTCTCACTACTGGGACTTAATGTCACTGTGCTTATACAAAGGAACTCCACGATGCCAGTCCAGCATTCAGTGTTCGTGCATTTGCATCATAGAACAGCCTGCTCCATTTTGGGCATCAGAAAGACAAAGCTGGTGATATTCCTACACGGGGTTCAGAACAGGTCCTCACATCTCAGTACCAGGATATAATTGCTCTCAAATAGGAGTACCATGAAAGCTCCCCTTTAGATCAACACTTTCTCCCTCTGAAGGAAGCAGTTGGCATCTGTGTCTTAAACAGATAGCTGCAGTCTGTTTTAAGATCATTGGTTTGCAGTGTTCCGTAAAAAAAGATTTTAGTTTTTCTCAGCCTAGCAATCTAGTTATATGCATCTCCCCACATCATTATGTGTATCTCCCCACATCTTTTCAGGAGTGTGTTTCTGGAAGTTGATCCCAGGCACCCTGATTTGGTGGAGGATTGGCTATGTGCACATCCCGACTTGCTCCTCGAACTTCGTGCTGTTCACAAGGATTTCTGTGGCAAGTAAGTCTATTTTACGTTCAGATTTTTGCTTCAAGTATATGACTGTGTCTCGCAGAGATTAGATCCCTGCATCCTGATATACTGAATGAAACTCAGCAAGAGAAAGTCAGCAGCTGAAGCCAACCTTTAAAAAATCAGGGACTCTTTTCAACTGTTTGAACTTTCTTATATCATGAGATAATCTGGCAAGCATTTCTGAATCAGAGTTTCTGTCACAGTAAGCATTTCTGATGGGGTGACTAGCTCTTTGAGATTACTGCCATTGGAAAGTTGCTACCTTTATATGATGGAGGTAGAACCATGTTCACCCCAGCAAGACTTAAAGCTCTGCTCATTTTTCTCCCACAGACCCAGGTTTCTGCACATCCAAAAGCAAAGCAGATGACAACTGTACCAGGAACAACATCCTTTCTTGCAGTAAGCTTTTTCGCTGATGAGCCCTTCTTGAATGGCTTCATGAAAGCTGCGTGACAAAAGAAATCTCCATTTTCCAGTGTATGACTTTTCCATGCAGTGACAGACCCCTCATTTCCCAACACAGACTTCATCTAGAGTTGCAGAGGATCGCAGGAGTGTTTGGAAGTGTTTGACCTTCCTCAGGGAACCTCATGAAACTCTAGTTCACTCCGCTCAAGTGACTCGTTAATCTCAGGACCAAATATAGAAGAGTTTGCAGCTCCAGATATTTCCTTGCTGTGATAGCAAATTTCAAAGAAATATGTTAAAAATACAGCTTGCCAACATGTCGTATCACTCATTTTGCCTAGGAAGAACATCACCTTTTTTTTTTTTTTCTTTTTTTTTTTTTCAACCTTGAGATAAATTTTAGAACATGACCAAGCTGGATGACAATGGTCTCAACTCCAGCTTATAGTAGCTCACGAGTGTGCAGTTATAATGGGACATGACTAACTTGCACACTTCAAATTCAGGTTTCTTTTTAGGACCCTGATGCTTTGCTGTAGCTCACCAAAAGCAAAGCAGCCTTTGTTTCCTAGTCCTGCTGAATGTCATCGCTGCACGTTACACCACGTTGCTTAGGACAGACAGAGTTCTGAAGCTCAGATAAAGTGATTTTGGTCATACGTGGGTTGAGATGGATTTGTGAAGAGAATAGACAACAATCTGTGGATAAGGTAGCCCTTTCCTTTGGAATATACTCATTTGGACTAGAAGGGAGAGCCTTTTATATAGACAGTTAAGGACCACAACTGGAAAAGCACCTCTCCCTGACATGCTTTCACTCCATATTTGAGGCTGTAAAGGGTCACTCAAGAGGAAGGAGTTCTTGGTGTTGGTTAAAATTATCTGAATCTACAGCACCTGACACTTTGTGGATGCTGCCAGAAACAGTAAAACCATAGTAATAAAGGTAGTGTTGCCTGTAGGTTAAATTGAGTCTTGTAAGAAATGCTTTGCAATTGAGTTTTCAAACATGCTAGCAGATCTGAATAAATATCTGGGATCCTTAAATTGTTTCTGATAGTAATACTAATGCTTAACTTCCAGGTAAGGCTTTGAAATGTGAGACTTTACAAAGAAGGCCAGAATGACTGCTCCAGTATTTCTGAGATGGAGAAGTCAAAAAGGTGAGGGAAAAAGAATAGTTATACAAAATTTGACAGCAGGCTAAGTTTGAAGAAAGACCCAGTCTCTTGGCACCTGCAGGAACAGCTGAAGTCCATTTCTTTGTTGGGGAGGGTGACTTAGAGTTGTATGAAACAACACTGAGAAAAGTCCTGAAATTGACGGTCAAGAACATGACATATGTACCAGTAGGATTAAATCCAAGCTGCTGCTGCTCACTGCAGTTTCTGAGGTTCTCTTCTTGACCGTAGCTAGCCAGTGAAGGGAAGAGAGGAGGACACCAAAGGATCTGGATCACTCCAAATGAAAACATTTGCTGGGCCACGGGAGGTGAGCATGGAAGGGAGAAAGAAGAAGGCAGTGACCTGTGCTGTGAGTGTGCAGGCAGGCAGTCTGTCCATGCTGAACTTAAACTGCGTTGTCAGAAACGACAGGTTCTGCATCAGCAAGTTGGGCATTTGTTTGGAGGGCCAAAGCAGCTTCAGAGAGCTAATATATTTAGTCCTTTTCCCCCTGCCTGTGCTGCACTCATTCACTTCTTAATATTTAAGCTTTGGCCCTGTTTTTTTGCAGGTATCTGAACTTAGGATTCACCAGTGCCCAGCTCACTGCACTTCAATCCCTTCCTCACCCTCTTTGTTCTTTCAGTTCTGCTCATACACCGGCCTTTCATCCCATCCCACCACTCTGCTTGCCTCAGGAGTTTTCCCATCCTATAAACTTTGTACATGAAATTATGAGCCCTCATTGGACTGTGCTACCTGCTGTGGTTTATCACAGCAGAGGAAATGGGTGGAAAGGGACAAAAAAGGTTCAGTTAGAATGTACTTAATCCTAGGTTTGGAAATCAAGTATCAACCCAGCTGATTCTGGCAGTGGTGAGAGCAGATTGCGGTCAGAGAGATACTGTGGTGGTTTGTTTGTTTTTAGTAAATAATAACAATGTTAGCGTGTTTAGCTAAGTTTGTCTGGCTTAGGTCTTTAAATTTGATTTCTGAAATGTTTTGTATGAGTGTTGACAGTATTTATGAAACAGAGCTAACAAGCACAGTGTACATCTGCAGGTTGCTTTAGAAGCTGGGTGACAGCTACCTCGTTCCTGGAGGTATTCATGGCCAGGCTGGATGTGGCCCTGGGCAGCCTGGTCTGGTGGTTGGCCACCCTGCACGTAGCAGGGGTTGGAACGGGATAAGCATTGTGATCCTTTTCAACCCAGGCCATTCTATGATTCTATGATATGAGGGAGTTAAAGAGCATCATGTTGCTTTTTTGTAGGGGAAGGCTGGTTCCAGCAGTAGGTAGCTGCCAAACTAGTAGGTAGTGGAGGCAGCTGCCCCTCTGAGAGCACTGCTGGCTGAGCTGCAGGATGCAGCCGCCTTTTGCAGAGCAAGCACTTGTTGGAGCTCTCAGTAGTAGGCTTCCTCTGAGAGATGGACTCTTAGTCTAATCCAGTAGGATAAGTGTTAAATTCTTATATTTATAGCAAAAGCAATAACAAAAATGCTTGCATTTCTCAAGGCTTGCACTGCATAGTGGTTACATGTCTCTGGAAAATCACATGATGCTGCTGACCTTCTCATATAGACAAGAATGAAGAAAAATTATCCTTCCTCCCAAGAGGCGGGATTTGTCAGACCCGCATCTGAGGGAATGTGCTGCTGTAGTACAATGTGTTCTTCACTGCTTTGCACACATTGGCCCAGGCTCCTTTTGGTACAGAAGCACTGCGAAGCTCTTTGGATGTGGAAGCTGCAAGAACCTCAGATACTCCCAGAGCCCTCACTAAAGCACTGACTGTGTCTGCTGCCTGTGCCTGTAAGCACGAGGCTGTGCTGATGCCAGCAATCTCCTGTGCACGTCAGCTCTCTGCAGCCGTGCAGCTGCTCCCTTGAGCCACAGAAGGGCTGATGCTTTACATAATCACTGTCAAAATGCATTTAATTTTCTGGCATCTCAGTGGGTCTTCGGAACTGTATTGAAACAGCAATTTGTTTCTGAAGTGATGCTTTCAGAGAGGCCTTGTTTTCCTGCAGGACCTTGATGAGTGTGGTTCAGGTGTGTATTTCTGGAAAGTGACCTGGTACAAAGTGCCTACCAGGACCTTGCTGGCCTTCCGAGTTGGGGATAGGCAAAGCTTGGTGCGTGGCAGAGCCCTGCAGATGGTGCTGTATTCCCAGCCTGTTGTGCCTGTGGTGAGCAGGCTATCTGCGTGCTGGCAGTGTGGCAGGGTGCAGCCCCCCGCTCCACGGAGGACTCTGTGGATATGGTTGCAAAGTGGGGCTTTAACTCCATTCCTGTGCTGCAGTACAGGCCTAATGTAGGGAGGCTGGGGGGGCCCTGGAATTGTAGCTGCGCTGGTAATGGGAGGCCTGAATCCCCCTGCAGGGCTGCACTGATCCATGGCTTTCGGCAGTCTGTCTTTGCTCTGGTGTAACTTACAAGTATACATCCTGAAATGCAAGTGCCACCCCTGTTTTCCTGTTCTACTCAGAGTGTGGGGTGGAAGGGACTTCCTAAGATCCTCAGAGGGTCTAAGACATGTGCAGTAGGGATGAGACCCTTTTCCAGGTGCAGAGCTGGCAAATGCAGAGGGGACTCAGCCAAGGTGGCACAGGAAGCCTCTGGGGAGCCAGATGACTGAATGTGTGGGGGTACTGCCAGCAGCCAGTTCTGTGATGCAGGGCTATAGAGTACAATGGATTGTAAGAGAGCTCAACAGTCATCTAGCATAATTTCTCTGTCCAAGTAAGGACCAACTTGGCTTACATCATTCATGTTTGCCTAATCTGACCTAAAAGGCTTCAGTGATGATTGAGATTTTTGAACATGGTCTGTTTTGAAGCTTCATTGTTTTTACAGCAGGAAAGTACCTTAGTACCTACTTGTCCTTGCTTTCATTGAAGCTGGATACTATTCTTGTCCTGAGGCTTTGCTCTTTCCTCAGAGCAGCTTCCCTGTATTAGCCTGTTCCCTTACAGTCCTTATTTCTGAGGAAACACCAACATGGTGTTTTTGTGGATCTCTTGCATGCCCTTCCTTCCCTGCCGGAAAGGGAGATAGAACATGCTGAAAGGAGATGCTTGTGCTTGTGGTGATTGAAATAATAGAGCTGCTACAGCCTCTGTTATTGTGGGGAGAAGTTATTTCCCAGGCATGGAGACGAGGCCAAAACTTGCATTAATGTTTTGTTTGTCTGGGCAAGTTTTCAAAAGCTGTATTTAAAGTTTTTGTTTAGAAACTTGTTTTCTTCTGCTGAGGGTTGCATCCAGAGGGACAAACGCCCAGCGGGAGAAGTCTTCTCTCTCACAATTAAGATGATTATGAAATACCAAGACAGACTTTATCAAGTTTCTTCAGCCGATTGTCTCTTCCACAGATGTTTTAATGTGCTTTTAGTTAAGCATGTGGGCTTTCAGATGTTCACCTTCCCTGTGGAGGGTCATCTCACAGCCTTTCTCTGCTGCTTTTGCCTGGCAGCTGCTCACAAGGCTCAGCATGATTTGTACAGTGCCTGGTGAGTACAGCAGGTTATTTACATAGTACTATCCCTTTGCACTGGGTTCATAGCCAAATCATACTTGTCATTCAGTTGCTGAGATTTGGGACAGGTTGCATAAGCTACTGTAACATCAAGGATGTTCTAACAGCATGCAGTAGTTGCAGAATCAGGCCTGTAACCAGCTCTCTCTTGCCTTGCAGTTGCTTCTTTTTGTCAGTTGGGCTTAGGATGACAAGCCCAGGGTTCAGAGCCTGCACCTAACTGTTCCCAGCATTTGCACCAAAGACTGGAGTGCTTCTCCAGTCTTTGTGTCTGTGAGAAGGAGGTGGTGCCTTGCAGGATGCTGATCTGTGTGGTGTTTGCCCCTTGTCAGTCTGGTCTCACCCATGGTGAGTCTGGTAGACCAACCTTCTGAAGGCAGAATAAATGTGTAAACAGTTTGCAAGATTGCTTGTTCACTTCAGTTTGGGTTTTTGATCCCTTCTGGAGACAGTGTGCATGGATCATGACAGGCTCAAGGTAGAAAGAATGGAGAAGAATGTAACAGGATGAGGAGCATGTTGGTAGCGAGTGGTGAGATCACACTGACCTGTGTGCTCTGTGCACACAGCTCCAGGGCTGGACCTGCGCTCAGACCTTTGGGTAAAATGCTGTGTGCAAATGTACTGGAACACTTGCAAAATCAGCTGTATTTAAGGGATTGTTTCTTTGCTTTAAATTGCTTTAAATTGCTTTCTCTAACACCTGAAGAAGGAGAAATCCATGTGCTGGAAGATTTCAGTGTGGGATATAGACGAGTTGGAAGGACAAATGCAGAGGAACCTGGTGGCATCTCTTCCTGCCCGTGAGCATGGCTCCAGTAATCCCAGCTCTGCCCAAAAACAGGTGTTGCTTGTGTTCTGTTGTGTCTGTTTCCTGGTCAGAGTCAAACCAGCTGTTCTGCTCTGCTCCCATTGTGAAGTGTAACACCACAGAAACTTGCAACTGGTTTGGGCCTGTGTTGGGATTTGCCAGACCTGGATTGGGATCCCTGCTGTGTGACCTTTGGCACATTATTGCTTACTCTGCCTCCTGCTGCAGTACTTGGGATAAATATCACTTTACTCTCTCAGAATATTTTAAGAATCTTCACATCATGGAAGCGAGGCAGTCGGTTACTGTAGAAAGCTCTGCAAGTGTTCTGTGGTATTCACCTCAATCATACCCAGAGAATGAGCTAACAGCACTGTGCTACAGCATGATCAATCAGTGATTTCGGTGATGCTCGTGCAAAACCAAAGGATGTGGGAGTAAGTCAAAGTTACCATTGCTAGATTTTCCACAAGTGCATCTCTGAGCATGCTGAGAGCACGACCCAGGCAAACCAGCCTGCTGCAGAGTGCTGAGGAAGTTAGGTCTGCATCCTGTTCACAACAGCGAGGGGTGCTTTTGCAGTGCAGGAGGATTAAATACATTGTTGCTGCAGTGCTGCCACATGTAGCCTCCATGGTTTGTCTACTGTAC